CCCAGGAAAAAATGTTATATAAATAAATATATTTTAAATATAATTATATATAATTGTATATACGTCAATTTCTTATATAATTATATATAATCTTATATAATTATATATGAAACATTTTCTTCCGGATCTCTATTACTACTACTATTATTATTGCTATTCTATTGCTATTATTACCTCTGTGGCATGCAACAAGGTGACTTTGATGATACAATATCGAGAGTTATAACGACAATTTAGGTTCTTCAGCAAATGATCATGCAAGTCATTTATGTACTTGAATCTCATGAGGCAAGCTGTGCCACCAAGATAATGCAGACCGGTCTCATCGCATGAGGCTGGATTATAGCAAAGGAAACAGGCATTTCCAGACTGACGCCATACAGCAATGGAATTACCGTGAGCGGTGATTTATTATTAACCGATTGTTAGAGGTTTCTATTTTCTTTTTGGAGATCTTTTTCTTTATCTTTTGCTGAGTCAATCTATAAATAAATAATAAATGAAATATGTTCACAATTCTTGTACTTTTAAAGTATTATTTTAACTAAAGAAAGAGTTTATAATAAAAAATGTACTATACTTAAGTTTTAGCGAATAATTTGAATAATTTGAATAATTTTTGATGGACGAACTCTACCACGACTTCATCCTCTACGCCCTCTCCGTGTTACTTCCACCGTTTTGCTGAAATAAAGAATTGGTATATGTTTTTATAATATTATAATTATATAATATTTTAAACACATCTTTTTGAAAAACCTTCCCGAATGCTATAAAAGAAAAAAGGACAGTATCCTGGAAGACTTGATGCATGGAGATCCTATGTACAGACGAAAGGTAACTGTTTTATGTAGAACAATTATTCGTTTGCAATGTAGCATTGCTATTCATTATTTTTCCTTACGATATTGTTTTCTTTTTTTTATAGTCCGGTGATAAGGAAAATGAGGACGGATAGCAATTCTATCCGCGTAACATATTTGTATATTTACATCTTATTATAAGCTCGGCTGATGAGTTTGACCCAGGCTGAGGTTCGGATGTATGTAGGTTCAGTCAGCCTTGGTTGGAAATGTTGGAATGACTGTGATGGCAATGGTGGTGGTTGCTGTTTATTTCCAGAGAGTTTATGCTACAACTTTGTTATTGCTTCTTTCAGTGTCGACACCTCCATTTTGCGAGTAGCGTCATTGTTACCAATACTCATACTATGAGGGAGTAATATTTTTGTCGTGCACACAAAACTTGTTGTTCTAATACAAAGTTGCGCACACGATACACTATTCGGCTGAATTTCAACCCGGTTTTCCGACCTCGCCAACTCGCGCACAGTCTAAATGCCGTAAACAATCATGATGCATCCGAGCAATGTTTCCAAACGCCTGTATAAGGATAATTAGAAATAATATTATATATTGTCAATTTCAAAGACGATACGATTTGGGATACTTACAGGTACGATTTAGGCGACCAGTTGCCTAAATCGGACCTTTTGCAGCATGTTGCAAAAAGACTCCCAGTGAATTAATTTGATATTGATAGAAGATAAAACGTGTAATAATAGGTACTTGAAATATCAAAGTACAATTTCTAATCTTCATTTGCACACAAATCAGTTCTAAATGAGAAATATAACAAAAAATACGTTAAGTGGTACGCATTCAGCAACTTTCCCCTACGTCGAACCCTGTTATAATATAAATATTTATATTTGTGAAAAATACATACTTACTTTTAGTTAACCACGTTTATTTCTCGTTTCTGTAAATAATGTTGAATATTCTCTCCTACTGTCTATGCGATACGATATGCTGGATTCACATTGCATCGTGCGACGCTCTACATCCATTCAGAAAACAGGATTTCGATAATATGACGCAAAATCAATCGGAATACTGTTTTCTGATTAGTTGCAGTTCGTCGTAAGGCGCACATCGGATGCAGTGTGAATCCAGCAATATATTTGGTTGGTGTTGGGAAACGTATAGTCAGTGTTGTCACTATCACAAATGGTTTCATCAAATGAACGGAAAATAATATCCTAGATTATATAAAAATTCATTCGAGAATTTTTTTATCATCTATGATATTTCATAATCTATTGACGATTTATGGCTGGATGTCATTTGTCTTGAAACAATTGAGACTGTAATCCATTTGATATAATATTCGTATCGTATCGTGTTCGTACACACTGCAGGAGATGGAAGCTTCAAAGAAACAAGATAAGAATAAGAACGTGGATAACGAGAAGTAAGTATATATTTTTTCACGAATATATATTTCATAACAGGGCTTGGTATGCGATGCACTTTTCGGCCAATTTTCAATTTGGCGTTTTCCCGCTCCTTATCTCGCTATACCGTGCGCATTCTAATAGCGTTTTTTATTGATAAAACTAGTGCGCATCTAGTGCACATTAAAGTTGTTGTACACTATTCTAATCTATATTTAAAAGTGAGAAATCTCTATTGACAAAATGCTCAAAATTTATTTTATAAAATAGCACAATAAAATGTATCGAATATTTCACGGTTTAATTCGTTTATATATTTTTATTAAACGGATATCTTTACGCTGATTTGTGTACAACGGCTTTAAAGTGCACTGACTAGTTCTGCCAGTGAAGAACGCTATTAATACCGATCAGCATTTACGGTATTTAGACTGTGCGCGGGTTTCAAAACGAAAAGCTTTTCATAACAAAAATATTACTGCTTTATAGTTTGAGCGATATTGATATGAGCGATGTCGATACCGCCATCCACAAAATGGAGGTGACGGAATTGAAAGAGCAAATTAAAAAATTAGAACAAAAGGTCGTTGACATGAAGAAGAAGAAACCACTGTCGCAGCCGCAGCCATCCCGACCAAGGCCGACATCCGAGCGGACATCCGAAC